TTGGGCGCCGCGGCCGCTCCAGAGCGTTCCGGAACGCTCTGAGAGCGCTCCGGAACGCTCTGGAGCGATTTATCCCGATCCTGGCCCTGTTTTATGTGGTTGGGAGGCCTCAAGGGAGGAAAAGCCGCAACGCGCAGAGGGGGGTAGGGGGAGGGGGGAAGGCTTTTTAGAAGCACCCCTGCTTCTTAGAGGGCGCGGGCCTTATCTACAGATGCAAGGCCCGCGCCTTCTGAGAAGCAGCCTTCTTCCAAGAAGCCCTCCCCCCTCCCCCCACCCCCTTCTGCGCGCCGCCAAGAAAAACCGCTTGGACCCGACAACTGGCGTTTGCGAAAGCGGCCTTGGGCGGCTACTAAGGATCTCTGCCCGCCCTGTTCGACTCCCTCTCTGCGTGCGTTGATTGAACGGCGTCGCGCGTCGGGGTGATTCTTATGACCGTGGGTTTTCTGCCCTCTGATGTCGAGGGCCCGTGTCTCGAAAAAATCGAGACGTCGGATGTCTGGGAACGTTGGGTCTCTCGGGGCGAGGCGCGTGGGGACGGGGGCCCTCGGGTACGGAGGCGTCGCGCAGCAGTGAGAGCCACTGCTCCTTGTGGACTGCTGCGTAATTTCGTGCGCGGCCCAGGCGATGAAGGTGGAGGAAGAGTTCAAGTAACAAGCAATATCATAAACACTAAACTACGGAGGTCCACGCGGACTTTTCGGATCTGCGCTGGAGCCCCCCAGCGGCGCCTCTGGCGCCGCCCTCCCTGTGATCGACATCCGCGGGGACCGTCGGAAGTTTATGTTTGTGCAGTTTGTTTGATCTTCTGGCGGTGAGGGAAGAGAAGCAGCAGCGGCAGCGGCGGGAGGAAATCAAATCTAGGAGGTCTGGTCGACGAGGTCCGAAACCGTTTCGAAACGGAGGTGGTCTTCGACCATGATTTCGAGGAACACGTCCCAGCTTGCTGACGGTCGTCCCTCCATCCCTCCACATCCCTATTATGGTTTCGCCTCCCTCCCATGCCGTCCCTCGCTCTGCAGGGTCGTTCCTGGTGCTGTTCTTCCTTCTCATGGACGGCTTCAACCTCGAGCAAGAGTGGTTCCAGCCTGGGAAGGACTGCTGATTAGCAGCCACGTTGGCCGTAATGTCTGTGCCGTCGGTTCCGCCATCGGATAGTGAGACAAGAGCAGGACAGGAGCAGAGGAGAGGACGAGGAGCAGGGTGTGCGTGGAGGTGGAGGTGGAGGAAGGCGGCGGAGGACGGAGGAGGAGGAGGAGGAGGAGGAGGAGGAGGAGGAGGAAGACGACAGCAAGCCCAGTTTCGGGAAGGTCGCCGGGGCCCTCTGATGCCGTCGCGTCGCGGGCCGCGGTCCCGCGCGGTGGACAGGGGATCGAGCGGCGTCCGCTGGTGTCGTGCTGGCGGCCGCCCACAGGAGTCATCGGAGCTACCACAGCGACCCCAGAATGCATCAACGATGCTGCAGTACTCAGGGGGGATAAAAACGCACAGACACAATCAATCGTCGAGTCCCAGGGATATATGAGAAAATATAGGAAGTGGGGGGGGAAGACAACAAAAATAAACATATTGGAGAAGATGGGGATCCTGGGATTTGCGTGTATGTATTGCGAAGGCCTTACGGCCGTTGCCGCCGACCCTGAAGATGACGAAAGACAACACGAGGGGGGGGGCAGGAGGAGGAGGAGGAGGAGGAGGAGGAGGAGGAGGCGGAAGGGAGTAGGAGGAGGAAGGGTGAAGGGGGAGGAGGAGGAGGCCTTATGGATGTTGGTTGGGATCTCGTGGTTGACCTCTCGGGGGCGTCTGGAAGGCAACTTGAAGCCTCTTGGGGGCCGTTGTGGGGCCTCTTGGGGCCTCTTTTGGGCCTCTTGGGGCTTCCGGAGGCCGTCTTCGGCGCATCTTGGGGGCGTCTTGGCGCCGCTCGGGGGCCTCTTGGGGCCTTTTGGGGGCCTCTTGGGGCTTCCCGGGGGCCTCTTAGGGCGGAAGTCTCGAATTCTCGGTTCCTCGTCCCCCTCTTGGCCGTTTCTTGGGCCCGTCTTGGGGCCCTATTGGGCCGTCTTGGGCGCCTCTTAGGCTGTCCTGGGGCCTTCTTGGGCCGTCTTGGGGCCCTCTTGTAGGCCTCTTGGGGCGCTCTTGGGGGCCTCTTGGGGGCCTCTTGGGCCGTCTTGGAGTGTCGGAAAGCCGAAAAGGCGAGAAGGCCAAAATCATTCAAAAACCTATGTAAAATTGACGATTTTGGCGCCTGGGGCCCTCTTGGGTGTGCTCTTGGGGCTCTCTTGGAGCGTCTTGAGGGCCTCTTGGGCCGTCTTCGGGCCGTCTTGGGCGTCTTGGGGCCATCGTTCGTCGAGTCGAGGCCCTCTTGTACCCTTTTGGGGGTGTCTTCTGTCGCTCTTGGCTCGTCTTGAAGCTTTTCTGAGCTCCGGGACCCCCCGGGGAGGATGCGTATCTGGGTGGCGACCCCCCCCCCCCCCCCCCCCCCCCGGCGGGGAGGGTAGGGAGGGGCTTCGCCACGACTCAACTACGACGTTGCTCAATGTCGCTTTGGCTCGCGCGCTCAAGGAGACGGGGAACGACGAAGACGACGAGGGACAACGGAGACGGAGACGACGAGGACACGACGGAGACGACGACGACGACGACGACGACGACGACGACGACGGTGATCCACGCAAGACGACGACACCGGGATGCGTCTTCCACACGCCGACAGGGTCGGCGGATTTGTGTCTCCCTGGGCTCCTTTAAGTATGCCCTCCCGTCCCGAGGCCCCTTACTCAAGTAGGTCCCCACGAGTATGCTTCTCTGCTCCGGGCATAGCGCCGCCCTGGAAGACGAGAGCCCCCCGTGGGCGTGCCACGCAGGCGAGGCCCATCGCCGTAGAGGATCAACATTGCATCCATATAAGCGCACAGAGGCAGGAAGGGAAAGTGCAATGACGTGTCTAGCGATAGGAGGAGGAGGAGGAGGAGGAGGAGGCCGAGCGGCTCTCGCCTCGTCTCCCCCTCTCTGCGGCCGCCTGCTCCGTCCCATGTTCCCGCTCCTTGCATGCTGGCCAATCCGCTACAGTCGGGGCCCCGTTTCAGTTACCCCAGATTTCGTAATAAAAGGGAGGGGATCTGGACCCTCCAAGACAAGCCATTTCAGACCTCCCCCGTGGGAGAACCCTCCAAAACATCGTCCCCAGACCCCCCAGGCCCTCCAAGATAGCCTGGAAGAGACCCCCCCCCGAAATGAGACCCCCCTCCCTTTATTACGAAACCTGGAGTAGCTCCTTCCGTCAGCGCAGACGTCCCCTGTCTAGCCGCCGACGCAGAACAAGTCTAGCGATGGCCCTTGTCGAAGAGCATCTGCCTGTCATGCGCGCGAGGGCTTTACACTTGTAAAGTTCTGGCCATGCAGCTGTGAGGAGTGTCAGGCGAGATTTCCCATGTTCGAAATGAGCTGCCCTCCATCCTGGCAACCGTCCCACAATTCGTAGGTTCCGACCATCCGATTCGATGAAGTCTCAATCGATGGTTGCATGTTGAACACGAACTGGCGTCCATCATTGTGCTTTGTAGGTGCTGTGCTCGTTGCGCTAAGGCGAGAACCACATGTCGGAAACCACTGGCCTTCCACCCCTGGAGCCAATGGGAATGTGTAATAAGAATGTGCGCGGCGTTGGGGCGATAATTGCATCAGCCCTCCATCTTTGTAGTTGTTGGATATCGTTGAAGCGAGCTTACGTGACGGAGCCACAAAAAACACCAGCCTTCCGTCCGTGAAAACATCGATCGGAAGTTGTTAAAACGAATGCGCGCGGCGGCAAGGCGAGAAACATGTTTTGAAAATAACCGACCCTCCAGCCGTGTAAGTGATGGAGAAGTTTCGTTTCAGGATTCAAGGTGATGAGGGAGTCTCAAGCAAAATTCCCGCCAGTCCTACGGACACGTCTGGTGGTGCAGCAGGGGGAATTACGTGTAAGGAAGAGGGATGGAGTTGGAGGGGTTGGACTTCGCCCCCAGCCCCCGCTTTTCATCCCGAGGAGTGTTCTGACGGACCCGGGGCCCAGTCAGCGCCCGCAGAAGCCAAAAGTGCTCGACACCCCCATGGAGGAGCAGGAGGAGGAGGAGGATGCGTTGGAGGAACAGGGGGATGAGAGGCAGGAGAAGAGACAGCAGCAGCGGCAGCAGGAACAGACATGTCTTGCGACCCCGGCAGACGGGCCCACAAGGGGGCTGCGCGGCAGTGCCCGTGGCAGGGCCGGGGTTGCCGCAGGACCCTTGGATGCCGATCATGTTCGTTGTCTACATCGCCACCATCTATTTCGTGAGCGCCGGCAGGGATGGAGGTGGAGAAACAGGAGGAGGAGGAGGAGGACGGGGATGAGCATGACAAGCGTACGAGATGTGTCGATAAAGGGGGAGGCGGAGGAGGAGGAGGAGGAGGAGGACGACGGAAAAATAGTGCAAGAGAGGAGGGAGAGGGGTGGCGAGATGAGGCGAATCAGGAGGAGGAGGAGGAGGAGGAGGACGACGAGGAGATGGAGGAAGAGGAGGAGGAGGAGGAGGACGACGAGGAGATGGAGGAAGAGGAGGAGAATGAGGAGGAGGAGTTGGAGGAACAGCAGGACAAAGAGGACGAGGAGGAGGAGGAGAAGATCTGGGAGAGGAGGGCGAGCAGGCGGAATGGCAGGAGGTGGTCGTGGTGTCAAGGCGGGCCTGAGCCCGGGGTGCCTGGAAGAGGAGAAGGATGAGGAGGAGGAGGAGGAGAAGAGGAGAAGAGGAGAACAGCAGCAGACAGCAGCGGCCTTCCTCCCCCTGGCCTCTCCCCCCCCAGCCCTCCCCCTCATCCCAGCCCTCCTTCCTCCCTCCCTTCTCGCCGAACCTGTCAACACCAACGGCGTTGCACCACCAGCATTTTCCAGGAGCAGGCTCACTGGCCTTCGCCAGCGTCAGGGCGGGTCCATCGAATGAGTTGCTCAACCAGGGGGAGGGAGCAGGAGGCCGACAACCGGCAGACTCGGAGAAGTGCGCTCAGAAAACAGAGATTGTTTCAGCGAGAGGCGGAATAATCATTGGGCGGGCGGGCGAGCCCAGCGCCAGGTGATGTTGAACATCTTTGTCGCTGTCGTTCTAGATGTATACTCCACATTCATCATCACTCAGCGAGATCGTGACGGTGCGGAAGAGAGGCTTGCAGATGGTTATCGTGTTATTCTCGTGAGCCCCCCAGCTCATTATGCAATGTGATTGAAACATGGGTTTTGTTCCCTTTGACCCATCTCTCCCTCTTCTCTTTCTCTCTCTCTCTCTCTCTTTCTCTCTCTCTCTCTCTCGCTCGCTCTCTCTCTCTCTCTCTCTCTCTGTCTCTCGTTTTCTATCTCTCTCTCTCACTATCTATCTCTCTCTCTCTTTCTCTTTCCTTGGGAGAGAAGTCTGGAGTACATCCGTCGCGTGTCCTCCTTTGCCGACTTGCCGTGGCGATGATTATCGCCAGGGGTGCGGCATCTACGACACATCACAACCCCTGAGCGAAGCAAATGTGCAGGCGAGCACCCAAAACTATTGCATGATGGCAGAGGCCATGATGTCAGCGATTGCGCCATGAGCGTGAGTAGCAGTCATTGTGAGCTGAGCGACGAGGACACGACATGCATGCGAGGGCGAGAGGGAGGGAATGACAGGGAGGGTGCCGCATCGTCCTGAGAGTCTTGACGGAGTGCAAAGCTTTGCACTGGCAGGCACAATCCGATGCTGGTCTTCATCCGAACGTACTACAATTGGTTGAAGGCGTCTCCCAGGGTAGGTCGTGTCGGCGTCGATGGGGCCCCCTCTCCTCTACTCCGTATCCTCTCCACACGTCCACGTCATTGCCATCATCATCATCATCATCATCATCATCATCATCATCATCATCATCAGCAGCAGCAGCAGCAGCAGCATCAGCATCATCACCATGAGCAGCATCAGCATCAGCATCATCATCATCATCATCAACATCAACATCAACATCAGCATCATCATCATCACCGTCATCATCGCATCGTCGTCGTCGTCGTCGTCGTCATCATCATCATCATCATCATCATCATCATCATCATCATCGTCATCGTCATCGTCATCGCCATCAGCAGCATCATCAGCAGCATCAGTATCGTCATCATCATCATCATCCTCATCATCCTCATCAGCAGCATCATTATCGTCATCTGTCATCATCGTCATCATCGTATTAGCGTGTTCTACCGCTGCTGGCGGAAAACCGGGGGGGGGGTCACTGGAGGTTCCCAACCCGTCCCCCCCCTCTAAAACCGGGGGGGGTCATTACCGGTTCGAACCCCCCCCTTACCCCCCCCCAGTCCATCATGGAAAGGGGGGAGGGGTCACTACCGGTGCAACCACCCCCCCCTCGCCGTTGGCAAGTCATTCCCGCTCCTCGGCACAGTTGGACAGTGGTGGGGATACTGGGACTGTGGTGGGGACGGTCGTGGTGGGGACAGTGGTGTGGGGACAGTGGGACAGTGGTGCGGGCAGTGGGACAGTGGTGGGGACGGTGGTGGTGGGACAGTGGTGAGGGGACAGCAGAACAGTTGTGGGGACAGTGGGACAGTGGTGGGGACGGTAGTGGTGGGGACAGTGGTGAAGTCGGTGGTGAGGACGGTGGTGGGAGGTGGGACAGTAGTACAGTGGGGGGAGAGGTGGGGACAGTGGGGAAAGTGGGACAGTGGTGGGGACAGTGGTGGGAACAGTGGGGACAGTGGGACAGCGGCGGGGACAGTGGGGACAGCCCCCGAAGAAAAATCCCAGGAAGCTTTCGAGGGCCCCAAATTTTCGAGCACCTAAAGGACATGTATGGTTTTGTGGTTTCCGCATTTCCCTTCCTACACGCTTCCGAGACATGCGCAGGGACTCCAAGAAGGTCGTTAGATGCACAAGGTAATTCAACATTTGAGATTACATGCGTTAGCCTGCCGAGCCTAGCTAGAACTTGGGCGCGCGCGAAGCGCGCGCGATGGTTCTAGTATGTATATGCATACACATGTACGTACTGTACTTAATATAACATATACGTGTTGATATTATGTGCGGTATGCTGTGTGTATATATATATATGTGTATGCATGTATGTATGTGTATGTATGTCTGTATGTATGGACGGATGGACGGATGGATGGATGTATATGTATGTATGTATGTATGTATGTATGTATGTATGTATGTATGTATGTATGCGTGTATGAGTGTATGAATGTATGTATGTATGCATGCATGCACGCACGCACGCACGCACGCACGCACGCACGCACGCATGCACGCACGCACGCACGCACGCACGTATGTATGTATGTATGTATGTATGTATGTATGTATTTATGTATGTATGTATGTATGTATGTATGTATGTATGTACGTACGTACGTACGTACGTACGTACGTACGTATGTATGTATGTATGTATGTATGTGTGTATGTATGCATGCATGCATGCATGTATGTATGTATGTATGTATGTATGTATGTGTGTATGTATCTGTGTGTTTACCTCTTCTTATCTATGTGTACAGGCTGGGGGGGTCGAAAGCCCCCCACATTTCCCAAAAAGAAAACCTGACCCCCAAGATCCGGGGTTCCGGGGCCCCCCAGACACCCTTGCCAAAGGGCTCCCGGCTCGTCCCCGACCTCCCAGGACGATTGGCCGGGTCTTGCCAGCAGACCTCAGGCGATCAGAGCGGTGATCAAAGAGGCCGAAGAGAGACCAAAGACAGCACAAGAGCGTTCCAAGAAGGACCCAGGTGGCCTCCAGAGGTCCCCAAGACGGACCAGGAGGCGCTGAACAGGACTCCCAGAACACAAAAAATGTTCTTTCCTTGAGGGAAGCGTGCATTTTCAGCATATTCGTTGTTCGGGTTTGAGCAGCGTCCCGAACAGCTAAAACAGCCTCCAGCAGCGCCCCAAGACGGCCCAGGCTTTTCACAAGGCCCTCAAAAGAAGCCTAAGAAGGCCATGGGAGGCCCCACAAGAAGCCATGAAGTTGTGAGCACTTGGGAGTCCGGGGCGGTCGCGGATCCTGCGGTGGGGTATCAGCCTGGAGCCTCGCCAGGAAAGAGTTTTTCCAAACGAAAAAAGCAGCAGATTAGTAATCCGATTGTTGCAGCGTTTTTTTTAGCGCTTTTGAAACAAATTCAAAAGGCCAGCCATCGATCGCAATCTGGATTCGGTTGCGCGGGCTCGACGGGCGAAAGAGAGTGCAGAACGCTCCTACAGAGCACGACCCCAGCGCCACCAGCAGTCGCGCAGTGCATCACATCTTGGGGCGGCGGGGACTTTCGTAGTCTCAGCGGGCCCTGCGCGTCCAGGATCATCATGTTCGAACGCGTTGAACTGCTCATGCGCCGCATTTTCAGTTTCAACATTGGGCCCATTGTCAGCGTGATGTAGTAAGCCCTAGTGGTATGCAATCGGTGCCTGATAGTGCCCTGGGGCTTCTCAAAGAATTCCCCACCTGCCTCTAGACCCGTCTTGGTGCTTATAGGACACCAGATGGTTCATCGCGTTTCCGAATGCCTTGTGCGCGCCCCACCTTCATTCGGCATTCTCGCCCAGTCGTTCCACTGGCCCGCCGCTGATTCCACGCGGGACCTGAGGACTCATATAAGCTTGCAGTGTCTCACTGTTCCCCAAGAGCTACAATGAATTATCAGTTTGCCCCCCCTCTGGGCACCACTTGGAGCGGAGGTTCTTCTCGTCGCCTCCGCAGGCCCCGTGCGTTCTCTGGGATGCGGTCGCGCTCGATGTCACGCTCCGCGGCATTAGGCCCAAGCGCGGCCCAGGAGGGGCCCTACCTTTGGGCTGCCGCGGCCGACCGTTCGGCGGCCTCGGGGCTTGGCGCCCCTGCGGCGGTCGCCAATGCGCGGCCTATGCTGCGGCGCCGGAAAGTGCATTGCGCCGTAGCGCATACATTTACATCGGGGCCCCCAGAGCACAAGTGACTCAATTGGTTTTCGCCCTTGAGTTTTCGATATGAAGTTGGCTAGTCTGAATATGGTTCTGCATCGCGCACGCGCGGGCTCGCGCGCGCGCGAGCAGCGGGGATAATACATTGCGCCGCAATGCACTATTCCACGCTGAGGCCTCCAGAATACGAGTGGAGCATCTGGTTTTCGCCAGTGGGTTTCCGAGGTCCAGATGGCGAAAGCGCGCCGCCAGTGGATGGCCCTGAACACACAAAAGGAGGGGCGCGCTCGCAGAACCCCCCCCCCTCCCCCCTCGGCGCTGGAAAGGGGGGCGAGTCGACCCCCTCCCCCATCCCCGCCTTTGCGTCGAACAGGGAGCTGGGGAGGGGGCCTCTCGGGTATTGAGTAGAAAAAAAAGTGTTTTGAGTAGCGATTGGTGAGTAGTGGGTATATGATAGTGAGTAGCACCCAGTGTGTCGTGCGTAGTGAGTAGTGGGTAGTTGGTAATGGGTAGTGGTAGTAGTGAGTAGTGCGTAGAGATCAGTGAATTATGGGTCGTGGGTCGTCAGTGGTGGGTAGTGAGTAGTGAGTAGGGAGTTAGTAAGCAAGGAGTAGGAATGAGAAGTAGCGAATAGCGAGGAGTGAGTAGTGAGTAGTGCGCAGTGAATAGAGTAGTGAATAGTGAGTGATGAGTAGCGAGTAGCGAGTAGGGAGTAGCGAGTAGTGAGTGGTGAGTAGCGAGTAGGGCACTGCGGGTAGTGAGTAGTGAGGAGGGAGTAGTCAGGAGTCAGTAGTGCATAGTGAGTAGGGAATAGTGCGTAGCGACTAGGGAGTAGCGAGTAGTGAGTAATGAGTAGTGAGTAGGGAGTCGTGAGTAGTGAGTAGTGGGAAGCGGGAAGTGGGTAACGAGTAGTGAGTAGTGAGTAGGGACTTGCGAGTAGAAATTAGTGAGTAGTGAGTCGTGAGTAGTGGGTAGTGAGTAGCAACTTGCGACTAGTGGCTAGTGAGTAGGGGGTAGGGAGTAGTCAGTATTGAGCAAGTAGTGCGTAGTGGGTAGTGAATATTTCGTATCGGGTAGCGTGTAGCGGATAGTGAGTCGTGAGTTGTGGGTAGTGCGTAGTGAGTAGTGAACTGTGAGTACTCCGTAGTAAGTAGTGCTTAGTGAGTAGTGAGTAGTGGGCAGTGAGTTGTGCTTAGTGAGTAGTGAGTAGTGAGTACTGGGTAGTGAGTAGTGAGTAGTGCATTGGGAGTAGTGAGTCGGAAGTAGTGAGTAGTGAGTAGTGGGAGCGTAGTGAGTAGTGAGTAGTGGGTAGTGAATAGTGCGTATCGGGTAGCGAGTAGGGCGTTGGGATTAGCGAGTAGTGAGTAGCGAGTACTGTGTAGGGAGTAGCGAGTAGTGGATAGTGAATAGTGAGTCGTGGGCAGTGAGTAGCGAGAAGTGAAGTGTGAGTAATGAGTAGTGGATGGCGGTTAGTGGGTAGTGATGTGTGATCAGTGAGTAGTGGGTTGAGAGTTGTGTTTAGTGAGTAGTGAGTATTGACTAGTGGGTAATGAGTAGTGAGTAGTTTGTTGCGAGTAGAAAGTAGGGAGTAGAGATAGTGAGTAGTGGGTAGTGGGTAGTGAGTCGTGGGTAGGGAGCAGTGGGTCGTGAGTAGTGAGAAGTGAGTAGTGAGTAGCGAGTAGTGAATTGTGGGTAGAGAGTAGTGCGCAATGAGTAGTGAGGGCTATTTGGGGCTAGGGTTTGGGCGCGGGGTTGGGGTTGGGGACTAGGGTAAGGGCGAGGATTAGTGTTAGGGGCGGTCGGGGCTGGGTTCTGGAAGCCAGGGGCGCCGTGGC